CACTATATGAAATTTAACCTAAGTGACTCACAGTTTTGTATAAAAAATGAGTATGAACTCACTTGACTACCCAGAGGGAATAGATTATACTGTTACTTATTCACGATATAGCAATGAATATTTCAATTTTTCCGCTACATTTTCCCTGTAAAATGGCGCAAATGTAGTTTTTATTTTTTGGTGCAAATGAAATATAACCTTGTGGCGCAAACGACAGATTGGATTTTGTAAAAATTGGCGCAAATGCAATGCTCCCGTTTAATATAATAACCTCAGACAGTGCTCTAATCAACATGATTAGTGAAAAGAAAATATGGGATTTAAGAATTATTGAATTTTAATTACTGCTAATCCAGTGTTCCAGCTTGAATCTCAGGGCAGAAGGGTGCTAGTTGTCTGGAAGGGTACTTTAGCGTTATAACCCAGATTTTAAGGGCAATGTTGGACAGTGTATAAATTACCTTGAATATTGCTAGGCTCAGCTGGAGAACATTAGTTGTATTTAAACCATATTCAGATATTAATGTGTTCTTGATGTTGGTTCCAGTAAGAATTTTCTTTTATCAAATTATCATACCACGAAGCAAAGCATATCATTTTGATGTTAATCTAAACAAACTTGTACATTTGGTAAGGAAAATAATCATCAGAAATTTCAATGTTTTATAACTAATACCAGTCTATAAAAATAAACAAGAAGTTTTGAAAGATGGAGTTATACATGCAAAATTTAATGTTTAATGTAATTAAATTATCTACATTTAAATTACTTGTTCAAACATATAGTATATATATGTTATTGAGAGTTATTTATTATCATTTGAATTGTTTCAAAAAAGTATTTATAAGTGCACACCAAAGTGCTCCTCAGTAAGGAGTTTTATAAATATAACAGGTGAGACAGGAGATGATGCAATAATATATTGCAGAAGGTATAAACAGTTACTTTTTTCTCCATCATTGTTAAAAATAAATTTGTTGAGTGCTCCTATGTCAGGAGGATTATAAAATACAAGAATAAAACAGGAAGTGAATCTTGTTATGTTCAAAGTACAAATTTCTTTGATTCTTCTTTAAATTTCATACTCATGGTTATGAAACAAAACATTTTTTACCAATTAAGTCAAAACTATGTACATGTATGCCTTTAAAATTGTTAAAGATTTTATTTTTTATGTTATGGTATTTAACTTAATCCCATTGTCAGTTAATTAGTGTTACACAATCAGGTAACAATTTTACCAGAAACGCCGGTAGGCATGAAATTTGGAAATTTTATTTTTTTGAAAAGGCAGAGGGGTGCATTCTTTTACTTTGGAGGGCAGAAGGGCAGGGGTAAGGGCACCAAAGGCGGGCCGCCCTTCTATTTAGGGCAGGCAGGAACACTGTAATCAATTTAGAAAAATGTTTGCGGTCTAATTTCTTTTGTTCCATAACATTCCAATTATTTCTTTTATAATATTTGAACAGTGCATCATCTTGGACAACCTTAGACAAACATTGACATGATTGATGTCAAAAGGGATCTCTTACATGTAATTAATAACTTTACTTTTATAAAATAAATAAATGTTAAAATTTACAAATGTACATGATAAAAGCTCTACCATTTTATTGTTTATGACTTTAAAATTATTTATCTATTATATACAACATGTACAAGTGGTATTTTTATATTTTTCTTATTATTTTTTTTCACGAATTTAGAAGGATGAAACGGGGTGTGTGGTATACACAACTGCATCCTATACATAGCTAAATACGGTAATTAAGATTGTGACTAAATACACACCCACTTGGAGAACATTTAAAAAGAAAATGGTAAAGTCATTTTAGCAATATCCCCTTTAACATCATGAACATGTTTAAGGATTCAATTGATATTTTCAAATCTGATGATTTTCTTGTAGACATGGTAGACCTTGACTTGCTGCTTGTTTTTGCTATTGATAGTTTATTGCTACATGTACATGTATCTAATCTTTTATAGTTTTAAGGTACAATGTACATTTGTAATATAGCCAAAATACAAGAAATAGGCAAAATTATTCATTTAAAGAAATTTAAAACCTAACAACATGACAAGGATCGAGTCAATTGACAATTTCTGTTGTACTGAATTTGTATGTCTTAAGCTTGCTGATCATTCATGTCATTGTTACTGTTTACAATTAAAACTTAGAACAAACTGTTTCAGTGGACTAAAACAAATTTCTCTCCTTCATCTGTAGAGGTCACTCCAGTAAAACAAAGGCCCAATAAACGGTTTTGTTAACTTGTCCCTTAACGCCTTCAGGCAAGCTTGATAAAGTATTAAGTATTTCAGGAAATGTCCAATGCTTTGACAATTTTTTTAAAATAAAATAAGGATATACAAATTTATAATTTTTAAGTCCTCATGTTTTACAACTGCACATGGGATTCCTTCCTTATCAGGGGTTAAAAAATCCACTAGCCCAACGCCCGGGACTAGAGCATTTACGCCTCGGGGCAATCAAAATTTTTAACCCAATATGCCCGACGGACTAGTAACAAAAAATTCTTGGCATTTCCAATACAGAAAGTGGAAAATCTCTTCATCACTATTCTGTCTTAGGGAATCAAGATTCATTTACGTCGTCCGGGATTCCAAGAATTTGAACTGGCTTGTACAGGTCCTGTTGTACATATTTTAAAAATAGAACAAATAACTCTAGGTGGCCCGGTATCATGTATTGATCGCAATTCTCGTACTTTAAATATTGATTTCTCAGTAAAAAAAAGGGGCGGGGGTTTTACCAAGATTTTCAATTAACGGTACTGGGGGTATGATGTATTGATCGGTATTGACCTGTCTTGTTGGACAGCTGTTGAGCACAAAACCAATCCATGCAACCAAATATTTCTAAATATTTTAGTACGGGCATCCCAGGAACTTCGTTAGTTTTAAAACGAAAAACTGTAGATGAATGGGGTAATGAGAGTGACAATTCATCCCCCAAAAATGACAAATACGACCGGGAAAAGCGGAAAGGAAAATTTATAGAGTCCCGGAAAGAGAGATTCCTCTGGACAAGGTCGGCCGTGTTGCTGATGAAAAAACAGAGAATATTGCCGTTATTTTCCCGAGCACGCCAATAAAAAGTCTGCTTTGTATATAGGAACAACTAAGTTAGGATAAGCACCACTGTTTGTTTACCAAAAGAATAAAAAGCAGGTCAACAAAAATTATTAAGTACAATGTATAACATGTATAATGCCGTCTTCAAAACAAGGGACATCCACTTTGTAATTATACAGCAAACTCTGATTTGTAAGGCATTCTCGGGCTAGCAGGTCAGTTTTGATGGGCTAGCACTTTCATGACTTTTTCAAACAGGGCTAGTAAAATCCAGCTGCAAATAAGTCCTGGGCTAGTTACCTGTAACAAAATTTTTTAACCCCTGCTTATTATTACCATCAGATTTTACATATGTACTTCTTACATATGTCATGCATGTATGAACCAATGATGTCTGTCTTAAACTGCATCAAATTCAAATCAAAATCTTAAAATAAATCCTGACTGATTGCAAGTCTTCCCCGTTTTTTTGCTAAATCTTTTGTCCTTTGTGATAAGACATGTTAGATTAGCTCTTCAATGTTGAATAAGTTTTAGATTTACAAACATTTTGACCTCTAGGCATCACTGGAGAGACATTTATTGCCAAAATGCACATCTGGTCAGACTGGTGCAGTACATTTTGCACAGTCAATGTTATTACATATCTTAATAATTATCATACATATACATATTCTACTTTTATACAGTTACGGCTGTAGTCATTTCCGGTTTAGGAATTTTTGTCAGATGTTCGGACTCCTTCGAACTTTTCCTACGATAGAGGGTAAAATATTTTGCCCCATATCACCAACTTAGAAGCATCTAATAGCTCATAAAAGGTCATTACCAAAATTAAAGCAGATTCTAGGTTTTATTTTTTACGATTTGAGACACAAATAATGCCAATGCTAAATATAAGGTAAAGTCCAAGTCAGCCTTTTCCCGTCAATTTTTTTAAAATCAAATATCTCGATAAGGAGTTTCATAACATCTTATCAATATTTTTAGATTATTTTGTTCCTTAACTAATGCTCATCTGTTTTATAGTATCAATTTTAAATTCCCAATTTTTTTAAATTTTACCTGACTAGCTACATGCATATACATGTATCAATGTATATGTACATCCTTAATAAGTTTTAAAAATATCTGAAAAGTGTTAAATTATGCACCCAGCCTTTCCCAGATATTTAAGAGTTCTATGTTAAAATATGCACCCAGCCTTTCCCAGACTAACAGGGTTCTGTGTGCAAATATTTGTTCAAAGGTACATCTGTCAAGCCTTTATGTACACTAAATATAATGTGCCTTTCTTCACAATCTTCATTCTGGTTGATTTCTGTACATTATGTACATGTATATTGTAACTTGATACATGTAGCATGCTAAACACAGAAGTAGGATGAACATGATGAATGTAGATAAATAAATGCAAAATTCATGATAAAAATTCCTGTATTGTTCATTTTTTCCCTACAATCCAGCTGAACTGTACATTTGTATTTCTAGCAACATGTATTCAAATATTGTTCAAACACCGTATCTATTGATTGGGAATTTGATGATTGAGTCGTGTCTGCAAAGCTGCAGTAACATGTAATAACACATATCAAAAGCGAAAAGGATTTGCATATACAAATTATACAAAAGTACATCAATTTACATTTTAGGAAAAAAAACACATAATTTAAATAACATAATTTCTTGTCTACTTTTGACAACTTTTCGTTGTCTTTGAAATGAATAACCAATGAACTATAAAATGCAGGTCCACACCAAATATAGACTATGTGCAGACTTACTGGGGGAATGACTTTATTTTTTTTGCAATCAAGGCCCACCTGATATATTCATGCTCTCGCCTTGAGGCTTGAGGCCATGATCTGAGAAACAGTATAATTTAGAAAGATTCACTTACCAAATGGTTTCAAACTCAAAATTTCCAAAGCTTACAATTTATCCAGGATGTTCCAATTCTTCATTTCCTATTTTGCACAAATACACCTTTCATGTTGAATAAATTTTAAGATATGCACCCGGCCTTTTCAAACGTTCAGTGTGCAAAACTTTCGTGGGTTGCTACGCCGGAACAGTAATTATGTGCTGTATTTCAATGAGGAAAATGTATCCATTGCCTTACTGTCGGGTGATTTCTACACAGTTTTTAATCTCAGATACCAATAATACTCAAAATAACGAAAAACAATGTAAAACAGCTGACTTTCGTGGGTGCAAATTATTAGTAAATTTTAGTATCTTTTTATAAAGAAGATGCACAGGGGAGACAATCATTCAATGGCTTACTGTAAATTCAGAACGCAATAAATATCACACTAGAAAAAATAAATATAACATAGTAAAAGGTATGAAATCACAAATTTTGGATTATCACAACAATTCAAATATTCACTTTTCTTCTCAAAACAATAATGTTCGGTAGCATTCAGTACAATTGCGAGACTGCCGACATAATTGACATAATTATATGTCGCTGTTTAAACGTATGTCAAGAGATAACATGCCGTTTATCTTCATGGTGACGGAAACTACTATAACATATCATATGTCATATGCCATAGTAGTTTCAGTTGGTGATTTAACATGATTAAGCTATTAATAAACAAAGATATTTTATCGTGACCCTGACAGAGACTATAATATGTTATAAATTATGTCGCTGCCCCTGATCACGACATAACCATACCAGTCCATATACTGACCTTTGATTAACTTACACCCAGTCAAACAGAATCCGGGTCCGTTCGCCCTGATTCGCGTTCGCCCTAGTACCTGTTCGCCCTAAAACTTGTTCGCCCTGGGTCCGTTCGCCCTTATACCTGTTCGCCCTGGGTCCATTCGATCTTATAGAAAATAAACGTGAATAAAAGTAAGTAAGTAAAACTTTATTTTGATTCGGCATATTGACAAACATACTACAACATAAGCTCTAATCATTGAGCTTTTCAACGAATATAAAAACATATGCAATAACAAATAAAACAAGGCATGCAGCATGCAAATATGTATATATACATCCCCAAAATAAAACATTCGAAAAGAATATAAATTTATTTATGTTTTGATTTGTTGATGTTTATTACAGGATCCAATTCGAACTTCGCATCACACACCAATAATTTTTTACACTATTATTTTAAAGAGCACATGCATATATGTCATATATAGGAAATGTTTCAAAACGAACTTGAGATCAAAGAACCCAAGCTGTGTGCGAAACATGAACCCCTGTTATGTCTTACAATTCGTACATTGTTGTTTTTACTCATTCCAAGCTGACTAGTTCATTTAAAAGAGCTTGTTTAATTTCAAATTAAAAAATTATAATGAAAGGTGAAGACATCTGAACTTTCCTAGAGAGGAAAGATACTGTCCTGTCTGTAATAATGGGGAAATTGAAGATGAACAACATTTCTTATTAAAAGATAATAGATTTACCTCAAAACGAGAAATATTAGAAAATAAAATAAATGCTATATTTAAAATACAGCGTAACATTAACACTGATGACAAAATATCTCTATTGGTAAACAATAGCTCAGCATTATATAATTACTTAGACTGTCTTCCTCTTTCATATCAAAGTGTCTAAATATAAGGAAAAGTGAACTAATATGATACATCAATATGCAACTTTTCATTCTATCATGATATATTAACATGTAACTTTCCATTCTATCATGTCAATTGATATAATTATATATACGCAATAGGTCTTAACCATTTATTGTTAATCTGTATCTGTATTTTCTATCTTCTGCCAATCTAGGCACACCTCCACAATTGGAGTAAAAGGCAGCTATCCACCAGTATATTAAAAAAAAAAACGGTCCACACAATAGTATTATTTACAGTTCTATCACCAATCCTCCACCAATAAGACAAATTGTCAAGGTTTATTTACAATAAAAATGTTTGTATCTGCTATAAAATCTAAATGTCAACTAAGCAGAATGTCTCTTATCTACTATAAATAAACTCAGAATCACGGGAATTTTGACTGAAATAGTTAAGATAATTTATACTTTTAAAAAATAGATAAGATAATTTATACTTTTAAAATTTTTTTATCTATAAGTATAATTCAAGGGAAACTGAACAGTACCAAGATGCGATCAGTCCTCATCAAGGAAAATTATTTAACAGTTCTTGGCTTCTTAGTGATGTCTAGTAATTGGTATCTTCTAGCATGTAATTTGTAGCACAAGCTTCTACATAATGGTTCTAGTTCGGTATCAATGTCTGATATAAGAGCTTCAGAATTCAGCCGTGTGCAGTAAAAATATGGGTTGACTATAATTATTGAAATATCAAATGCAGCGTCTACTTTATGTTTAGCAAATAGCATACTGCTAATGTTTATTATTTCTAAAATGAGTGGTTTTCGTATGCACTCTAGTTCTTCACATATCAACAGGAAATGATTCATAGTTTCTTCATTCTTTTTGCACATCAAGCAGGTACCATCTGGTGTAGTTTTATTGAACACAACCCTTTTCACCTGAAGAATGTATGTTCCAGTTAAGATTTTAAATCGGACTGGTATTCTAGATATGTCTCTTATATTGACTGATAACGTTCTTGCTATTGGGTGACATTTTCCTACTATTGTTATGTCGTCTGCACAGGTGGGGACACAGCAACTTATCGAACCTATCTTTCCACCAAGTTTAGATTCTACAAAATTGTTCAACAGCTGGTTTAAATAAACTTTGTATAAATCAGCACTTAACGTTCCTCCTTGCCTTACGCCTTGCTCAATGTTGAATGCATCAGATGTATTTCCTTTCCATTTAATTTTCAAAGTAGCATTTCTATACAGGTTATCAATTATTAAAATGCGTTGTTCTGAAATACCTAAATGATATAGCTTTCTGATTAGGTTTGTATGTCGCACTACATCGAAAGCAGATTTTGCGTCAAGCATTCCGTATATTGTTGGTTTGTTTAAGTCCGTACTTTCTCTTTTGAATTCCTCCATGATTAGAGATGCTATAAGTGGAACAGTGTTGTCAGTAAAACCACGCTGGAGAGGGTTTTGATCTTCCAATATGTTTGGATTTATCCGTAATTTAAGTATGGTTTCTATTATTTTAGATAATGAAGGAGAAATGGTAATGCCTCTATAATTTTTTGAGTTTGAGATGTCTCCTTTATTCTTAAAGATTGGTGTAAGAGTACCAGTTTTCAAGCTGTTTGTAATATGACAGTGCTGAAATGATGCATTGATGACTTTAAGCAATGTACTATCAAGTTTTTCCCCGCCGAATAGAAGGCATTCTGCGGTAATACCAAAAATGTCAGCTGACTTGTTTCTATTTAGCTGATGTAGGGCTTTTTCTAACTCATCTGTAGTTACCTCTTCATGGTTGTAGGCAACTAAACATATCTGTATAATTTGGAGATATTCAGCGTCGACTAGCTCAAAATAGTCTTGATCAAAGTTCATAGGATCTGATTCTTTTGCTAAATTTGCGAAATGGGTCTTCCATCCTTCAAGAATATTGTTGTCACCTTTCAGACTAGATTCACCTACTTGAAGTTCATTAATGAATCGATTTAATTTCCCTCTTTGTTTTTTATGAGCTGATAGAAGAGTTTACTGTCCATTGTTCTTGCGTCAATGAGTGGTTGTCTCTCTGTTATCCGAAGATTTGCATTTTCGACTCTGCATAGTTTATTTAAGTTCATATGTTGTTTGCTTTTTATTTAAACGTAGAGGATTTGTAGCAATGTCTGGTCTGCCGTTGATTTTCCATTCACAGAAAGCGTTTTCCTTTGCCTTAATTGCCAAATATATGTTGTGGGTCATAAAATTCAGTTTTAGTTTACGCCTTTTTCCTTTCAGAGGTGGTACAATAGTTGTTAGAGCCCGAGTCACTGCAGTGTTGATGTTGGTAACTGCCTTATCAATCTCTAGTGGGTCATTAATTGTAAAGTCACATTTATCAAGTTCATCTGATAATACCTGTTTGTATAAATCTTTGTCAATTTTATGCCAATCTATTTTACGAACAGTTTGTCCATTTTTGCTTTTTATATCTTGCTTAGTTTTCATTGAAAAACTGAATTTAATATTGGCACACACTGGATAATGATCTAAAATGTTATTTGTTATTTCTAATCTCCTAAGATGTAAGATCTTGTCACTAAAGTGCTCAGGATACAAGATATAATCTATTGCCGTACAGTCACTACCATTAGAATGTATAAATGTCTTTCCGACGTTCTGGGTTTTCAGCTTACTTTCATTTATAAATTCAGAAATATATTTGCTTCTTTTGTTGTTTGAGGTGACTAGCAGGTTTTCATTAAAATCTCCTCCAATCATGATTATATGTGTTAGTCCAAATGATTGTATAATTTCATATAATGCATCAATAAAATTGAGAATGGAAATGGGGAATATGTCAAGGAGACAACAACCCGACCAAAGAGCAGACAACAGCCGAAGGCCACCAATGGGTCTTCAACGCTGCGAGAAAATCCCGCACACGTAGGTGGTCCTCAGCTGGTCCCTAAATACAATTGTGTACTAGTTCAGTGAAAATGGACGTCACACTAAACTCCAAAACATATAAATGAACTAAAATTAAAAAAAACATACAAGACTAACAAAGGCAAGAGGCTCCTGACTTGGGACAGGCGCAAAAATATTCCTGAAATTCAGCTGTACTATTGTTTGAGCTTCTACATGGCATATATATAGATCCAAGTAGTAATTTTTTAGTACTTCCTTTCATTTCGACGCATTGAATTCTTTCATTTCCAATAGGTAACGGGGTGATCAGATGATTTAGTTCTTTCTTCCATAGTATTGCAACCCCTCCGTATCCTCTCGGCATATGTGATGGAGGCAGTGGATCTCTCTCATCTACTGATGTTCCTATACCGATAAGGTTTTCATTTAATTCATTTAATAAGTATAATTGGCAGTTGAATAACCAGTGCTCTTGTATCAATCATATATCAAGATGCTTAGTAGCTTCAGAAAAAAACGGTCCACATGTTAAAATATTTTTACAGTTAAAAGTTAAAAGTCTGGCAGTTTTATGACTTATATCAACATTATTAACACTATGTACAATCTGACTGTCCTTTTGTGTACTATTGATTAATTAATACGTCAATCAGGTGATTCGGTAATTTTGGCCTATTCTGGATAAAAAATGGTTGTCTGATTCATTTTGAGTAGTATAAAAGATAGGTTGTCCAACTTTACAATTTTGCCTTGAGGTAGCAAGGTTTTGATGCGGTGG